TAATAAAATAAACGTCTCTTTAAATGATTAAGAAAAACGAAGTTAATGTAAATCGTTGCAACGGCAATCATCGTAATACCCCTTTGTTACTTCTCTCGTAAATAAAGGTGAAATTAATCAAAGACAACAAAACAAGAACAGACTTTCAGGGCCGCGCATTCTTCATTGCGTATGACTTCTTCACTTTAACAGCAGAATAATGTGTAAACCTCACTTTCCCAGGCTTGGAAATTTTACATTTTCGTAAACACCCCCCTTACCTGGCTTGAATCCGATGACATCCTAATCTGAGCTGCGAGGAGACCCCTAAAGTTAGACCTCAAAAATCTAGCCATTTTCTATTCCCCTCGCTTTCAAACAGTCGCTGTCAAGTCAGGGTGTCCTTGTGTTTTATATGGAAAGCCTCGGGCCCACCAACACCTTTCACGGAGTGTGTTTTTGTGCGGTACCTTTAAGATACAAAGCTCGATCTCCCTCTGTGAATATCAATACAATAAAATCAGTATAAACATCTATGTCTCACTATCAATAACAACAAACTCTGGACATGTTGGACACGCCTCTGCAACACGTTAGAGATTGTAAACCGCAGTTAATACTCTACAACGCCGGGTAAAAAGTACAGTTGGCCCTTTCTGACACCTAGGGGGCTCTCGGTCAGAGGTTAATTCTGGGCAGCACAGACCCATTGCGGGCACACGGCGGAGCAGTTTGCCGAGTATGTGCTCGACAAGTAACAGTCTGTCGATGCAGGACGGCTTTCAGAGTAATAATCCTTTTCAGTACAGAGACCATTTCAAGAAAATCTAATGCAAGTGTATAATTACTTCTAAAAATTAATTTCTGTTTTAAAATCTGATTTGCACGTCTAGTATCCACTATGATGCAGGGAGGGTGTGAACTTCCCACAGTGATGTAGCAGACTGGGTGGCAGAGGAAATGTCAATTTACCCGGTGGAATATGTAACATAAGGTTTAGGGTATCTGTTAACATTAACAAGGTAACAATATATTATTCCGAGGTAAGAGAAATACGTGTAATTGCTCTAAACGGCCTAATAGACTAATCCACTTAGGCTGCAGAAAATGTTACTGTTTTGTACCCTTTACAAAGCAGATTTCATTATTGAGGAAATTCTTCATTGCACACAAAAATCATTAAGACAATTGTTTTTTTTTATTTGCGATACAGCAAAAGTACATCAGTCACTTTCAAATCAAACTTTCAGAGTAATACAGCGAGCGAGTCAGCATCGTGTTGCGACACTGAACTCACACGACTACACAAAGGAAAAGCAGGCACCAAAACAAAACAGTCGTAATTTTAGAGTTCTTCATCAGCATTTTACCTTTTTTAAATCACCAAACTAAATAAATATTTACAATTTCAAAGTTAAACCAATTTTCCAAATTTTAGTATTACAATAAAAAAAACAGCACCCTTTAAGGGATTTTCAGATTTCAAGAACGGGAACATAAAAACCTTCCATTTTCATCAGGAGCCCCTAATATTACTTAAAAACTAACATCATCCCTTGTCTATACTCATTATAAGCTGACAGGAGCTCTGATCAGGCAAGTTTAATTTCACTCACCTGAGAGGCACACTCAAAGCCTGTCATGATAAAATTACCCTTTTTCCACAATTCCAGGGAATTCCACTTCAAACTGCTCTAAAATAAATCACAGGTTTGATATGGGGTGGATATCTTGTAGACATTTTATATACACTAAATACTGTACAGATATGCCAGTCTACAATTTTAATTGTTTATTAAATTGAAACATCTCATGTATTACACAAGAGTCCGTCATTCTCGAAGATGAGAAACTAATCCCTTTAGTCCCCATCTCCACTGTGTTCTCTGCAAGCTATTAACAGTACTCCAGTGTGATCGTAATACCTCCTCCCCCCAAAAAAAAAAAAACTGGCTTCAAACGCATTCAACTGATCAAAATTGGAGGCTGTAGGTTAAGAGACAAAAAGGGAATGTATTGTGAGAAACAGTCGATAATTTGGGTGTTTTTTTAAGGGTCAGTTATCTGATTTAGTCAGTTATATTTTACCAGATGTTTCATAAACTGACTGTCCAGTTAATGGTTGTGAAGAAGATTCATGTAGATGGTGTTAGATAAGAAGAAAAAAATCACAGAAGGGAAATTAGATGAAAACAAGCTGTTGAAAGTTCTGAAAGCAGCTAAAATATATATTCTGTATAATGGAATGTTTTTCTGGTGCAAAGACGACTTTTTTTGCAGTTTTCCAATGAGATTTCAATTTCTTGGAATAAACAGATTTACCCCCCACTTATCAAAGATTTTAGTTTGGGGCTGCTTTTTCCGTTTTCACCAATTTGGATGCAGTGCTGAAAGAAACCACAGAACGAGAGAGATGAAGGCAAGTAGGGGGAAGAGGAAGGGGCCGTCAGAGGGCCTGGAGGAGCCTGCGGGGGCCTGTCTGCCGGGACCCCCTCCCCCGGGGCCGTCAGTCTTCCTTCGGGCCCCCGAGAGCCTGCAGGCGCTCCAGCAGCGGGGGGTGGGAGTAGTGCCACATGGAGAACACCCAGTCCGCCACCGGGAAGCCCAGGTTGTCCTTGTTGAGCTTGATGAGGGCGGAGTAGAGCTCCGAGGCCCTGCCCATGCCGCGGGCAAAGGCGTCCGCCTGGAACTCGAACCTGCGGCTGAGGACCGTCAGGCAGAAAGACAGCAGCTGAGGGAAGAGACGAGCAGCGTCAGCCCGCTACAGATCCGAAAGCGCTGCAGCACGACCTCACAGCGGCGACGACAAAAACCATGCAGGAAAGTTCAAACGGTCTGGATACTGGTTTTTTTATGAAGTTCATTCTGAAGCATCGGTTGGTTGGGTTTTTTTTTTTTTCCCCCGGTGGAACATAAGTTTACAAAATCTTTCAAGTCTTCCTTTCACTTTATGTTTTGCAATGGACAAATCTGTCTTTGAGTTTTCCTCTCCATGTCTAAAGAAACAGTACAACAACAACCAGTTCCACTAAAAAAAGGAGCAGCAGAGCAAAAGCCATGAGCATTGACTGCACTGTCCATGTTTCCAACCAATTCACTTTTAATAATAATTCTTTACACTTAGATGGGGCTTTTCTGGACACTCCACTCAAAGCGCTTTACAAGTAATGGGGATTCCCTTCCACCAGCACCAGAGTGTAGGCTAGTACTCTCATCACACATCATCTATCACTGGGTAGGAGAACAGAGTGATGAAGCCAATTCATAGAGGTTTATTATTAGGAGGCCATGCTTGGTAAAGGCCAGGGGAGGAAACTTGGCCAGGACACTAGGCTAACACCCCTATTCTGTTCAAGACATGTACAAACACAAAGGGAAACTTCAGTGAAATGAGACTGAGAGCTGATCTTATTCTACAGTTAGGAGTTAAAGTAAGTTCAGCATTCTTCTACTGCACATTAAAGTTCTAAAACTTTTCCAAACTCATCAAATTCCAGTCGTAAATAGTAACATAAAAGAGTTTAGAAAAATACAGGCGTACAGTGAATTGAGCAGGACACTGCATGCTGTCAGAACTGTAAACAACAATGGAGCAGCTGCCATGATTACCTCATTGTAGGGGGAGAAGATGAACTGGAAGATGATCATCAGGCCAATCAGGGTGGGCTGGCTGTCGTGGAACCCAAAGGCAGCGAAGAGCTCCTTACGACCAATCAGAACAGCAAAGAGGAAGAAGCACAGGAAGGAGTTCATCTGCAGCCGAGGACAGAGAGGGAGAGTAAGAACCGCAGCCTGCTGACAGGCAATCTCAAAACAGCTAACAGGATGTGACACATACTGCGCAGGATTCAGAAATATTAACTGGCTGTCTTCAGCATTTTCTTCAAGTACGATCGCCTGCATCTGAGGCTGTTATACGAGTAGTAGTATGCGGGACTCAACTGTGCGAGGATTTTTAACTAAATTGAAATCCGACACATTGCCTGCCACTGGCCAGAATGTCAATTCGGATACTTTCTTTCAAAACAAACTGAAATCATTGGAATCATTTTTTTAAATACAGAAGGGTACAAACACCTTCGTATATGAATAAAACGTTCCCAATCTAAATTGTCAAATATGTATCGGGAGCATGTAGCTCCTGGACAGACATTTCATCATCCGGCAAACCAGACAGTTCGATCCCCGCACAGGACAGCTCATTCACTCATCCTGGCCCTGTGGGGTGTCCCTCTCAGTGAGGTTACCTGGCTGATGACAATGTTCTTCACAGTGTGGCCCAGTTTCCAGTGGCCCAGCTCGTGGCCCAGCACAGCCAGAACCTCACGGTTGTTACAGCCCTGCTTCTTATTCTGGAGGAGGGGAGGAGGAAAACATGTTATAACAACTTATTCACTTCCTACCACGTCTGCAAAATGCACTTCGCTTGGAACAACACCGTCCAGGAATTAAGTGTAAAATGCCCCTGGCTGTAGGAGCCAAGGACCCCCCTACAGAGTGAGGAGCGACCAAGGGGCAGCTGCAAAGGGGTGCAGGAGGTGAATGCGAAGGAGTGAAGGGGCTTATGCCTAGAGGAAGTGACATCAGGAATAATTACAATTTAGGACAGCTGAGGCTGTTGAACTCGGATACTGTTACCCTTCCCGAACCTTCAAATAAACTCCATGTATATGGCAGATCCACATCATACCACGCATCCCGATATGAAGAATTCTGGAAAACTGGAAAACCTGCTCGCCGTTTTAATACAAGGGAGAGCCTTGTGCCACCCACAGGCCCCACGTGGTACGACGGCACATCGGGTTTGGCTCACCTTGGGCCTGGGCTTGGCCTCGGCGGCGTCGTTCTCCTCACTGGGCTCCGGCTCCGGCTCCCCGGACTTGTTCAGAGGAGAGTAGTCCTCCAGCAGGGTGTCAAAGAGCACGATGCGCTTGTTCTTGAAAAACCCGTAGAAATAGGCATTGCTGTGGGACGAGCGCTTGGACCCTGAAGGACAGAGAAACGTGGATCTGTACTCATCGGGGCAGCATCTACTGCATGTTCAAGACTGGTTACAGAACACAGGTGCACATTACAGAAAATAGGATGTGAAGCCAAGGTCACACATGACTAGATTTCACTGTAGCGGAATGTTATTTTTGCCTCTAGTTGCAACCACACATAAACCCAACTAAGCAGCTTACCTTCCACCACGTAGACTTTAGTGAGAGGAAAGCTGATTGACTTTGCCATGGCCTCAATGTCCTCCTTCAGCTCCCCTTCAGGCAGGGGGGTGAACTTGTCAAACAGTGGAGCAATGTAGTCGGCGTAGACTGTCACCAGCACCTACGATCACAAGGGGAAGCTCACACGAACCACCCGGCTCCTCGCTGTGCACTCAAAAAGCAGGTTCGAAAAGCATGCCAGATACCAGCATCTTGTGCCAAGAGACAAGAGACGCTGCGTCTGTTACTCCTTTTGAGGTTTCGTATGTCGAGAAAACACTTTTAAGCTCATATGATGTCCTGAAAAAATGTGAACAGCTCTATAGAGTGGCCCATACATTAAAGGAGTGCTGCAGGTGTGTTGCAGGACAACTAACCACATAATAGATTGACCACAGCATGCACACTTTTTCATAGATAATCATCTTTTTCCTTTCGTTATTCTCATTTTTCATGTATTGCAGATTTTGATAGCAGGACAAAATGACCTGAAACAACCATCTAAACCAGGTTTCAACTCATAGGTGCTGCCTTTCAATGTCCTTCTACACCACCATCTTTCTTATTTACTTACTGTCTGAATCGGTGGTTCTCAGCCTTTGAAACTCAATGTGCCTCTTTCTGTTAACACAAAACTACAGCCCCCCAAACCTCAGTATATGGGCTAATAATTCTATTTAAACTTTTTTAAATGAATTAATTTCAATTGCTGTTTGTGAACTTACTCTTACATCAATGAAAAATATTTTTTACAAAATAGCGAAACAGATTGAAGGTGGCATGATCCAGATTCACATCTGAACTTCAGCGTATTTAATGTACGAGTTCACCTCCAACATGATCAAAGTGAGCTCTGCTGTTGCATATTTGCCATAAGTCTTGACTTTCTCAACTCCGTGGAACAAATGTCACTTTCCACATCAAGTCTGCTGCAGTGCTTACTTTTGATCATCACAAGGGCAGAAAATCCTGCGTTGGCTACATAGGTGGATAAGAAAGGAAAATGGGATGAGGGTGTGCAAAGCTTGCTGCTGTTTTTCGGGTAGACGGGAAAGAATTTCAACCAAAACGACTCCAAACTTGACTGATGTCTGATATAACATCTCAACTGCCCACGCGTCCTCACATTGTTTACTAAACTACACTGAACTGTTCACTAACCAAATTGCAGCGTGGATCATCACAGATTATGATGTGACATTGCTAGAAAAAAGTAACTTGGCTGAATTCATAATGTCACAGCTAGAGTCGATATTATTTGTGGTCATTATGAGATTCAGTGCCTGCACGAGCTCTGCTTCTGTGTTGCTAACAGCACAGACTGAGATTACTTGGCAAGAAAATGGCGACCACAGTAAATGCAGTCTTAAGTCTTAATGAAAGTGTCAATTAACACTTTCTATTGATAAATTACTGTGACTGGATCACACTTCATTAGCAAGGTGATGTTTTGTATCCTGGTATTGTACTGTTGCCATACTTTAATATTGTCATTTAGGTTATATGTTATGAGCTCTTGATGTGCAAGACAAATTCCCTAAGGGGAAATAACCCATAATTCAAGTCAGTGACTAAAACACTAAATATCGAGAGAAGCTTAATAAGAAGGCAGGTCATACATTTCTGCTTAAAAGCCGCTGTGAAAAACACTGCCATGTAGTCAGAAACATTTAGTACCTTTTTCAAATTAGCTGTATATAAAAAGCTCCCCTGTGGGTCCTCATATGTCCCCCTTAGGGGTTGCTGCCACTGGTTGAGAAGCCCTAAATAAATGCCCTATTCCAGAGATTCCTAAATTCTCTAAATGAATAGGACAAGGAACTTCAACAGTGATGCATCCGAGTTGCATGTCTACATCAAATATCAAATTCTGTCACCACTGACAGCAGCCTTTCCTCCCTTGACTGGCTACTCTATATCCAGGAAGTACTCAGACCCTTCACAGGAGGGTGCACTGAAGGGCATGTACAGGGTATAAGAAGGTCCTGCTTCCAGTCCTTACATGACAGCTGGCATGATTAGGGCACTGCCTGAGCAGTAGCAGAGAACCAGTGTCAGCTTCTGGGCAGCGAATGACACAAACCTGCTAGTCTGATCCCAGCAGTCAGATGAGCTTTGCTGCCCGAACACATACGGGGGTGGTGTTTACCAAGCAGGAGGGAGAGCAGACAACCACATGGAACGCCCCTAGCAGGAAGCGTAGCCCTCAAGGGCTGGAATAAGACGGGATCAGAGGCGATGAGAAACTGAGCATTTGGGATCCAGGGTTTGCGACTCACCAGAGAGACAGCGAGGGTGAACAGCCAGGCGTAGATGAAGAAGTAGTCTCCGCCGATTTTGATGATGTAGAGCAGCAGGGAGGTGACGGGCAGCAGGATGCACTGCGTCACCACAAACTTCTTTACCGCGTCCTTCAGGAAGAAACCCAGTGTCTGAGAGAGAGAGAAGACAGGAGGTGAAATCAGTATGCAGCACACCTAGAGAAGATACTAGATCACTCCAGCTCTGATCCCTTTACTAAGAACCAAGAAAGGTCAAGCAAAGTCAGTGAAGGATTCTAAGAACTCCCTTTACAGTTCTAAAGCCAGCTATTATAGCTTATCCCATTCACAATCCCACATAGCTGCATAAATGCTCAAAGGGCTTGAAAAACGCCATGTAGAAGTGCTACTCGTATACTCGACTGAATTTCTCTCACAAAGGCAATAGGGGCGTTCATTATTCTATATGAAGGAATAAAGAAAAAGCTATATTGACATCTGTGGATCTCTGAAGGGTCAGCCACTGGAACCTGCAGCTACATTTCTGTCTTTCACATCTGCTTCGGTTGCGACAAGTAAGGGGGTTACAGCTCAGAAAAGGTTGTTCTGCTTTTTTACATCCAATAATGCGAGGCCCGTAGTGTAGCTGGGGAGCGACATGCATGGACGGTTTAAGCCAGAGAGCTAGTGGGTGGCACAGTGGTGCAGTGGTTAGCACTGCTGTCTCACAGCGCTGTGATCTTGGGTTCCATTCCTGGGGTGCCCTCTGCCTGGAGTTTGCATGTTCTGTCCATTATATACCGATAGATTAACTGGCCCTGGTGTGAGTGTGTGTGCCCTGCAATGGACTGGCATCCTGTCTGGGTCGTACCCTGTCTTGTGCCCCTTGCCTGCTGGGATAGGCTCCAGCTTCCCCGTGACCCTGTACCGGATAAAGAGGTTATAAAGTGCATAGATGCATGCTAGCGTGCCAAGGAGGCAGTACCTGCTGGTTGAAGCCGTGCTTCTCCTCGATGACAAAGGTGCTGTAAATGCTCCAGGGAAGGCCAGTGAAAGCACTGAAGAGAGTGGCCAGCAGCAGGAACATGAGGGACTGGGAGATCTGGGAGCACAGACAAGGGCTCTTACAGCATGAACTTTCGAAAAGCCTTTTTGGCTCCAAGGCAAAATCCCCCCTCTGCTCGTTTCTATTGCCCAATATCAGCGGGCTACACATCAAAAAACCTTCCAAATATTTTCAGAACAGCAAAACCAACCTTTCATTCAGAGAAAGATTGATGTAGACCACCATGGGCTACAGGGAAGTCACCTACAACACCAGTAGACTGATCCTCTGCTCACCCCCATGCATGCGACAGCAGCTTAACAATCTGCGACCTTTCTCTGATCCATGCAAGTGAGCACTGTCTTCTTTTTACCTTTCTTTTGGCACTTTGTATTTTCTCAACATGCGGTTTGGAACTGCCACTTGATTCCTCATGTCTTTGCTCTGAATCTGTGCTGCACAGGGAGGATGAAGCCCGACAGACCTGCTCCTCTGACCTGCCCACGCATCAGAAGTAATTGACTGTTGACTACATCAGACTGTTTGATGTGCAGGAGGAACAGCACATTTTACATAGTGTCTAAGTCATTGAGTGTCAACATTATTACTATCTTATTCGTTCAGGTGGACAGATTCCTTGCAGTAGTTTATCCTTATACTTACGATCATTATATAACGAGGACTATAGTTATAGACATTTGCGCTTACACTTGGTTTTACTACTATTTTTCTCTTAACGATCCAGAACCTCGTTACCATCGATGTAGCTGCACAAACGGTGCGTGTGGTATTTTGTCGCTCCAGGCAATAATAATTGCAAGAGTGCTGATTTATGTGAAACTGTACTTCATGGCTAAATACCAGATTGCTCGTCATTATCTTCTATCATGAAGCACTAATCAGTGGCATGGTTGCGAGATTTCACTTGGGTAGTTGCAACAGCTCCGTTTCAACTGAAATACCGCCACACCCTGAGAATTTCAGACGCTCCCTTACGGATTCTTCCCCTGGCGCCAGCCTTGCAGACAATCCAGGCTCACACCTACACTTGTGTCTGGGCCACTGAGGTCCACCTGTGCTCAGAGTGAGCTGCTTTGCTGGTCAGGCCACACCGAGACCACATTAGCACTGAGCCCTGTCTTAAAGAGCACATTATTCTTGCATCACTGCTCAAAACTAGGGTGCTAATGGGGTCTCTGAGGGGGAGGAGAGAAAACTAAAAGAAGTGCTCTAAGGCTTACCTCATGTTCTGGTCCGAGTCCAGCTCGCTCAATGAGACCGCCCGATACCTTCCACAAGAAAGGAATCCCTCCTAACAGGAGAATCAGCTGTACAAACACAATGGCTGGTTTTAACTGGGGCAGAAGACAGCAGAGTACTAAAACAAAAACTACCCGATCATCAGAAGCGATTTTTTACTGCACCTGAAAGCCCTCTTTAAGTTTCTAACATCTATTATTCAAAGCAAAAGTTTTTTTTTTTATTTCCCCTACCAAGTTTTATAAAGGCCATTTTCTCCCCTCTCTAGGTCATTGTGCAGAGTGGCCAGTACTCTCAGCTACATGCCAGTCTCCTCCTGACACCGCAGTCCAGTGAAGCCAACAGGGAGACCACCGAGAGGGACACACTCACCGTCCCCTCTGTCTCGGAGTACAGTCCTGACCAGAAGCTGAAAGTGCTCTTGTCCAGCTGGTACAGCCGCGACTTCTCAAATGTCTCCGTGTCCATGATCCTGCCCAGTTCCATGGGCACGTGAGTGGTGGACCTGTACACCTTGCGCTGCAGGCAAAGAGACAGGGAGACTCCTTACCTCCTTCCTTTACTGTCTACAGAAGAGAAATGAGCTTGGCAGGGCATGTAAACGACAGGACACAATACATAACAGAAGTTGGGTCATCAGTGTGCAAGACAGATACATGCATGATGAAAAAATAAAGTAAAATATAACATATCAGTTCAAATTAAGCAGGTTAATAGCAATAGGAGGCTGCCTAGAGCTCTGGGTCTCTTGTCAGCAGGCCTTTATTCAGGATGACATGCTTAACTTCTTATATAACTCAATGTTCTCTGTGAAGTGTAACGTTTTATTGCACATGTTCACAAAACAATGGTAGAAAGCAAGTTTGGACCTACTATAACACCCCGCCTCTCCAGAGCCACAGATCTCACAATGAAGGACAATAAGAATACATAAAAACTGCGGGTATGTTAAACTGTTGAAAAAATATTTTCATCTCTTCTACTGTGTCATCCGTTTATGCCATATTAATCCATACCATGTTTTGGCAACTTTAAAGCCTTATCGTCAACCGTTTTACATCTGGTTGTTAATGCCTGTTGTAATGCCTGTCTGGTTGTTAATAAACCTGAAATGTCCAAATGTTAACGTTTATCGGCTCCCGGAAAACAAATTAACCTTGTTTCTCTTTAAAGACGTGTGATTTTAGTAAAATCCCAGCCAATATTCATTCATTTTGTGGACGCGTTTCATGGTAGATTTAAATGCGATCTATGTAATCGATCTAGGTTGCACAATGAAGAGGGTAAAACAAGACGGAGAATTTCTCAGTAATAATACCAAATGAGTCTTTGTCTGCCTCGAACATGGGAATAGGCATCTTGGGAAGCAGAAAACAATAAGAGGGACCCATTAGCAATGCCGTGTATTCACTAGAGGCATTTTTTCGAATAAAAATGATAGGACATGGATGTACGTGGTGGTTAATTCCTGATATTAGGTTTCGTTTCCCTGTCGTAGTGCTAGAAACAAAACGTGGCTCTTGCGCTCGTAAGAGTTGCTCTCAAAGCTGCTATTTTTTTTCAGTAGTCGATGTTTTTTGCATTAGGTAAATCGGCGTTACACATCACTTAGAAAGGCAGAATGTGTGTAGCTCACCTGTCTGTACGCGAGATAGGCCTCCCATAAATAGACTGTCCACGAGAAGAGTAGAACCGAGTAGAAGATCTTATTTTCTACCGAAAGTTCATATACAAATTGCAGCATTTTGTTCTCCTTACTCAGACCAGTTTTCGGTACCTTTACTTCCAGATCTCATGAAAGGGTTTCAAACTCAAAAGCAATCGTCGACTTAGCATTAACCACTGTCGGAAGATTTTATGGAGCACTCGTTGTTTCAGATGGAAACGTCTGCTTTGAGCTTTCACTGCCGTGCTGATATTTGTAAGTAATGACAACTCATGCTAGGCTCGCTTTCCCATTCATGTTAAAACCGTCTGAGTAACACCCATTTTCGCTCCCCTCACGCTGTCTGCGCCGTGAGCTCCAATCACTTCAGTTCCGAGCCGATGTGTTCCGACGGTAACATTTTTTTTCCAGATCACGTTTTAAATGCATAAGAATCCATCTTCTCTGCATTTTCAACCCTTCCGAACTACAATGTTTAATTTCACCAACAGTTCTTATACCACTTTATATTTTATATCTGATTTTTTTAATGTAATTTTGTTATGTGTTTTACTAGGTAAACCGGCAATAGCAAACTGAAAAAAAAAATATGTACAGAATTCAAGTTCCACGGTCATGTTGCAACATAATAACATTCATTAATGACTTTTGTGATTTACACATATATGGTACAAAGCAAGAAAAAGTTGAACAATTCATAGACGAAAACTGAGAAGGAAACCATTTTATTAGCGCAATATCTTCATGCTTCTCACGGAATTGTGGTGGTAATGACTGCTCGCTCTCTAATGATGTTAATAAGTAATCCTGCGCGCCCGTGGGTTGGTCAGCTAGGCAGTTTCCCAATCTCCAGAGCTCGTCGAGTGCGCGCTGAGAGGGAGCGAGCCGGGGCTGCAACTCCGAGCCCGGCGCGGGCCCGCGGGCTCGGTGCCGCGGTGCAGGAACGCGCTCTCCAGGGCGCGCGTCCTGCGCTCCAGGCGCCCGACCTTTGTCAGGAGCTGGCCGTGCAGTTTCCACATCTCCCGGGCCGGAGAATCCTTCCAGTCCCGGCCTGGGCCTCTCCGGGTCAAGTCGGGACCCTGGGGCAGGAGGACAGGGTCTCTGCGCGCATCCCGCCATCCTCGCAGCTCAGTCCGCGCTTTCTGCAAAAGCATGCCGCCGATGAGCTTAAATGTGGCTGACGCCTTTATCCAGAGCGACGCACATTCAGGCCATCGTAATTGTAAATGACAGTTTATACAGTTGGGTATTATAAACGAATAATTTGAGTGTAGTACTTTGCTCAAAGGTACAACGGCAGACCCGCATGGGATTTGAATTTCCAACTCGGAAAGAGCGAAACCGCCGGTCCACAATACTGCCCCCATACACATACATCTGAACTAAAATCCTTCAAAGCTTTCACATTTTATTTCATATATATGTGACACTACGACTGTGGCTTTGCAAAGACAATACACAACTGCTCATAAAACATTTTTTAACAGTTTACTGTCTTGAGGCTACACATCAGTGAATTAATGGAATGTGGCTGTCGGGACATGCCAATACGCAATGAAGAACTATTTAAAAAAATATTATTTTAAAAGATGATTTTCTATGATTTAAACCTATACTATAGTTGTAGCTCCAATTCCAAATCCCGTCACTTTAATACTCTTACGCCGTTAAAAGCGTAACCTCTGAAGACACGGGTATGGGCGCCTGTGTTAGATCCTCAGGTGAAGTCGAGTCTTCTGCAGTTTGCAATGTGATGACCCAGACATGTTTGCTTGTCCTGCTCCACGAAGTTGCCCACCCGCCCGTCGAACAGCGCAAACGACGAAACTCACCGCAATCCTTAGTGCTGCGTTTGTACCGGTTTGTGTCGCTGTAAGTAGCGTTTGTGCCGGTGCTTTAGTTTCCGAGATATAGCGCCTTGCTTCTTTCGGGTAATCACGTGACTATCTACAAGGAAGTTTACAGGTACCAACAAACTCTGTACTTGAACTCCTGATTGTGATGAAAACAATGGGGGCAATTTGTTTTCAAAGTATGTCTGGTCAGGTGGGGTGGATGTTTCAATATATTTCAATATAGCGCCTTCTTTTCTTGGTTGTGACTGTCACTATGTGACGTCTTTACAAAACAGCAAAGTCACGACCACCAGATATTTCAGTTGTGATCTTTTGATCAGTTCACCCCAGACTTTGCAGCCTTTACTCGAATAAAGTCTTACATTTGAGGAGTTACTATGTTAGTTTATTGGGTTAGGTGTTTTCTTTTCATTTTTAACCATGTTCTCGAAATGTGTTGCTTGTGTACTCCTTTCATTGGTGAAGAGACACCGGTTTGCAAATTACAGCTGGTACAACACGAGAGCCCATATTCACATTTTTAGGTATTCGTTTCAAGATCGATATAATTTAACAATAAAAAAACAAAATTGAAAGCACGAGCATAATTATATAATGATCATAGACTTAACATTTCTATTCATTTTTAAGTACAAGTACAAAGCAGAAGGTGTTTTCCCCTACCTTAAATATACGATTAAAATTGTTCAAATACCATGTATTCATTACAGAAAGCAGCGGAGACAGTTATATTACAAATAAAAATGTATTTATTTCGAAGAGTACAGGACATTGTGAATCAATAAAGACGTTAAAAAATAAGCCGATTTAGTTATTTTGCAAATAAGTAAAGCATTTTAAAACTAGATTCTCATTTACAGTAAACAAGCTGATCCACCTTGCGCTGCTGGCTTGAACAGCTCTCAGACCCGTGATTGGCTAAATCCCCGAACAGGTCGGGCCGCGATTGGGTGAAAAGTGAGAATCGACACTCTGATTGGGTAAAGCGCCACAGCGGAAGTTCCGTGTGTACTGTGTGAGCTGAATGAGCACGCTGGACACACAGTAACACATCCTTTGGTTTCCAATTACTGATCAATCTAAGAGAAGTCGCACTGAGGTGAAAACTGAATAGCAGACAAAGAATGTCATGGCATCCACAGCGCGGTCACGACTCCGATAGCATGTCACGATAGGAGTGCGCGCATCACGATCACATCGCGATATCCATTTCCACTGGTGCATCACTATCATGGCGCCACTGTAGCGACATTATGTCCATATATCGCAATATGACATAACCGACAAAATGCCCCCGCCCCCATGTCCCGACATGGAGTCCATATATCGCGATATGACCAAAACTGCCACGCCCATGTCGCGACATGAAGTCCATATATCGCGATATGACATTACCCGACAAAAATGCCCCCAC